GGGGGGGGGGGGGCCATCTGTAATACTTTCAACAATAAAGATACTTTTTTTAAAACAAAACAACGTCGAGGCCTAAACCTCCGACAAATCTAAGAATCTCTGGAGATGGAGTCTATCACTGTAATGAGTAGCCAGGCCAGGCTAGGAATCTCTGGTCTAAATAATGTCTAAAATGCTCTCTCTTGCCCTGGCTGGTGTGGCACAGGTGGTTGGAGCATCATCCTGTGCACCAAAAGATGGCGGGTTCTATTCCCAGTCAGGGCGCATACCTGGGTTGTGGGTTCAATCCTCTGGCAGGGCGCATTCGGGAGGCAACCAACTGAAGTTTCTCTCTCTCCCTTCCTCTCTAAAATCAATTTAAAAAATAAAATAAAATGCTCTCTCTTGCCCTGGTTGGCTAGCTCAGTTGGTTAGAGAGTCATCCCCATATACCAAGTCATCCCAATTCACCGAGGTTGTAGGTTCAATCCCCAGTCAGGGCAAAACAGGAATCAACCAGTGGGTGCATGAATAGGTAGAACAACAAATTGATGTTTCTCTCTTTCTCTAAAAAAAAAAATCAATACATGAATTTTAAAAATAAATAAAAATAATAATAAAATGCTCTCTCTTGCTCTGACCTGCTAACCCACAGCCATTCTAAAAGAAGTGCTCCTCACAGGCTTCAGGGGCAAGGAGACCCTCTAACGATGAGCATCAGCATTGGCTGTTTATTTCTGGTCCTGGCTGACAGCAGTATGGCCAGCTTCAGACCAGCCACAGCTCTGGGGCCAGGATGCGACCCTGGACTCTGTTCCAGGGTGGCTGCAGGCCTTCACTCGTACTTGCAGAAATCCTTAAGTCCTTTGGGCAGGTGGAGCCCATCAATGGCCAGCCGGTGCACTACGCTCCTCTGGATCACTAGGCGGCACAAGGTCTGCAGGGACGGCACTGTGTAAAGAAGATGGTCAAAGGCAATCTGAACTGGAGGGTGCATCTAAAGCTGAGTCCCAAAAGATCTAGGTCTTGTGCCCCACTTTGTTGTTAAGTTGAGCAATTCCCTTCTGCTCCCTAGGTCCCCCATGACTCATGGAGCTGTACGTGTGTTTGAGATAAGCACCTCTTTTACAACACTTTCACAATGCTGCAGCCCTATTTCTATTATAACACTCAGCACCCTCCCTTCCCCCTCACCTAGCAGCTTCTAGGGGGCAGGGGTAGTGTCTGATTTATCTGTGCAACTCCAGCCTCCAGCACAGGCCTTGCACAGAGTGAGTTCTGGTTCACTGAATAAATAAAAAGTGATCAGAGGTCTAAATAAAGGGTTTACCAGGGCTATAATGAACCAGACCTCAGGATTAAGAAGCTCTCAGTCTGGGGTCTGTAATGCCCTTAAACTGGTATGCCCAAATCTAGGAGCATTTGTCTAATAAAAGAGGGCACAATTCTCAAAGAGACTCAGAATCTAAAATCTGTTTAGAATCCCTGCCCTAGGTTAATACAGAAAATATTATCAAAGCCAGAAGGGAACTTGGAGGGCATTCTAATCATTCACAGCCAAGACCAGTAACTGAGGCCCAGAGCCAGGGAGTGACTTATCCAAGATCACAAGCAGAGGCATAATTTGGGGTCAGATTCCCCAACTTCTAAATTTACGCTGGACAGACCAAGGCCTTGCTAGCTGGCTTGGGAGCCTAGGAGGTTTGGGTCCCCACACTGGGCCAGGAGGGGTCGCTCCCCAGGAGGTGGGATACCTACAGCCATACTCAAGCTGAACCAGACGCACGCTCTTGGTGGAGGCAAACACGTCCACCACTGCGTAGAGGGGCCGGGCGGCGGGCAGCCCCCGGGCGCTGGGGCCCATGTCCTCGCCGTTGATGACGATGTGCATGTCGGCCGTGCCATCGGGGCGTGGGCAGAAGAGAACGCCCAGGCGGCTACGGCGCGCGGTCGGAGGCAGCACGTTGAGCTCATAGAGCTGGTCCAAGAGGTGGCTGTAGAGCCCGGGCCTACTGCGGCCCACCA